CTGTTTATTTGTACATTTATAAAAAAAAATATTTAATAACAAATATACTATTTTATACAGATTATGATTTTATTTATATTTTGTCGTCAATCTTTAAACTACATTATTTTTGTATTTATTTATAGCTCATTTCTGAATTATATAAGTATTTTTAATATTTTGGTAAAAAAAAAAAAAAAAAGTGTCAAAAAATGTAACATAGATGTTAATTAGTGTGGGCCTATGCGCCCATTGATGCCCCAACAAATCCCACCTTGGGCCCAATCCTTTTTTATATCTGGGCCTGCAAATGGACCGACCCTTTCGATATCTCTACTACTCATACAAGCCTGAGAGTGCCTCATGAACTGTGTCCCAATTTTTAGCGACATCATGTAGGCTTGAACTTTATATGGAACTAAGTAAAAAAATGCTTACATTTATCAAGAAGAGAGCAAAAACAATGAGCATAATGAAATTTAAACTTTAAAAGACATTATCAACGGTTGTTCCTAGCAAAATAGGTGATTCGAGTACAAACTCGATTGTACGGGTTAGCCGGCTCGTGCGAGTTACAATTGTATGTATCCCGACTGAGCTAACATTTATCGGCTTATTTTCTGACTCCATTGCATTCTCTTGGTCGTGATTACAATCACTCGTATTCCCATCACACTTGAGATGAATTCCGCATGAATCGAATCACTCGTAATAGAGTTGATAGTGTCTAATTGATAGCTAGCATAAAAATAAATAAGTTAATACTAAACCCAATGAATTTGTGCAAATTTGTACATATATCGAATGTTTTACTCTTATCTAATCCATCATAAATGGTACTTCAGCCATCAAATGAGCGGATGATCTGACGGCTAAAGATGTATTTAAGGAAAGAAAGAGCTTGAAGAAGCAAGAAGCTAACCAACAAGAAGACTCACAAGGAATAGGAAAATTTGCCAATCAAACCACACGAAAGTCGAAAACAAACAATCCATTGTGTTTCATGACCACAAATTTACATTCAGGGAAGCTAACAAAACCGATACTTAATGAAAATCGTGTAAACAATATATGAATGAATGCATTATACTTCAAAATTAGGTAGGGCTAGAATCAATTAATGCCAAAACAAATGGCCTATAAATCTAAACTTAACCCAAAAGTACAATGGAACTCTGATAAACACGAATTCGGTTTGCCGAGTTTTCACAAAATGCAGTCACATTTGTTACAAGTTTTACATCCTTTTTTTTTTCTATGATCACTCTATGCAGCATCAATTTTGTATTCATCAATAATACAATTCCCACACATCCTAAAAATCGAACACTACCAACAAGTGATCGGTCAAAACAAGAACCGAAAAAAACACGATAAATATAGGGATAGTGAAAAGGTAAAAAGGAAAGGCAGAATCATCAAATTCACCCACTTAATATCACAGTATATTTACTAGGCAAGATCAGTTATACTTAACTTCATTCCCTGTACCAATTTATCTCGGCCTCCCGGTGGCTCCGCCGGAGCCACCACTGCCCGACACATAGCTGCCGGAATTCCCCAAATTCCCTTTCCCCACAATATGCTGAAACCCACCAGAACCGCCGTACATCTGCCCACCATGATGATAACCCATCACAGCCCCACCATAAATCCCACCGCCGTTAAACCCGCCTGAATTCACAGCCAAGCCGCCGGCGCCGCCCTCCTTGCTCCCCAACACAGAGCTTTTCTCCCCCTCCATCTCCCTATATTTGGCCAGATAAACTTTGAGAGGCTCCACGTACTCCTCGAACCCTAGGGTGGTCATGGCCCACAGCAAGTCGTCGCCGTTGATCGTCTTCCTCTTCTCCCTCTGGCACTTGTCGGAGGCCTCGCCGGTGACGAAGCTGATGAACTCGGAGACACACTCCTGGACGGTCTCCTTGGCATCCTTGGAGATCTTGGCGTTGGCGGGCAGGGCCTTTTTCATGATCCGGCTGACGTTGGCGATCGGAAGGAACCTGTCCTGCTCCCGGCTGCTCGCGTTGCTGTTGCTGTGGCCGCCGGAATCGTTGTCGGAATCCGCCATCGATTTGTTTTCCTCACAAAGAAACGATGGGTTTGATTGATTATCTCTACTTTTTTTTCTGATTCAGATGTTAAAGGACGTGCGCCGTCGGCGGGGAAATTAATCGGAACTTGGGGCTGAGCTCCGGCGAGACTGGGGAGAACTGGGAGAACTGAGAAGAGTGTGTGTGTGTGGGTGGCAGGACAAAAGGGCTTATTGGGAGGGCTTTGATATTTTACTACCGGACGACACGTGGCAGCACGCGGTCCGCTGGTTTCTCGATAAGTGGGGTAACACGTGTCCGAATTTGTGACCGTTGGATCAAGTACTGTTCTGTGATTGAAGGGTTGGGCAACTAGGAACGTGGTGGTCGGCGTGACTGGTAGTATTGGTGGGGTCCACGCGTTTTATTTTCCAAAATTTTAAAAAAAAAAATCTGTACGATGGGATTATGTAGTGTTGTGTGCAATAATGGTGTTTTTAGGATAATTTTTTCTACTTTTAAATTGAAAATAATATTTTTTTTTTTTTAAAAAGCAGATTATGAAAGCGATTTATTTTAATTTTTTCATATGTCTGATTCTGAAATTTTACCTTTGGGGAAATGCTACATAACCAAGTATTTGTAATTGGGATCAACTATCTCTGACGTTTATCGGTTACAAATCTGACGGAATGGTTCCGTAACGGACCGTAGTATCTTCCTTTACTTTGTAAACCTAATTTTATAAATATTGTACCTATCGTCCAAATAGAGATGTTAAACGAAACGATCGCTTATGAGTTTGGCTCAGTTCATCTCATTAAAGTTCGAGCTCAAGCTTGTCTAAAAGTTATTTTAGTTATCGAGTCGAGCAAAAAGTTTATTTTTATATAATTCTATTATTTGTCTCGAACTCGACTCGTTAATATTAATAAACGAGTCACGTTTTAATTCAGTTTTCGGTTCGTTATTATCGATAAACGTGTCGAGCGAGCTCGACTTGGGATGGTTTGAGCACGAACTCGAGCTCGTCTCGGCTCCTTTTGCACTCTAGACCCGAGGGATTATCGAAATAATGTATTAAATATACATATAAAAAAAAAGGCATAATTACATTACTAAGTTAATGATTTCAAGTTTCTTAAGTTTTTCAATATTAATTAATGCTTCATTTTTCTTTTTTATTTTTTATTTCTTGATTGCTATTTTGTCAAATATTTACTACACATCTTTAGCTATATATCATGAGCTTATAGAATAAGATTATTTATATAAAAATACACTTTTTATCCAAATAAAATATTTATGAATATGAATTCCGGAATATCTTTGTACCTAACAACAAAAAGTGTGATCTTTAGGTGCAACGCCCAACTAAATGGGATTAAAAATTTCACGATACGTAAAATATGTTTGGCATTCTCACACAAGTTTTGAGGATAGACAAATACTATAAAGTATTTGCAACAATTCGATTCCAACTTGTGAAAATTTGAGTTCGACTCGTTTGTTTACTAGCATAGCTCGAACAACTAATCAATCTCTTTTATTGAACAAGTCGAGTCGGGCTTGTTCACGAACACAACTCATTTTTATGTATTTTTATATATTTTAAACAAAATAATCGAATCGGACTTGTCCACGAACAGACCTTTCATACTCACGAACACCTCGTTTAAAATTTTAGTTTTATTAATCGAATTGAACCAACTCGTTTATTAAACAAGCATGATATCGAACGGAAGCTACGTACTAGACTCGACTCGAATAACACCCTTGTCAGAATTCATTTCAATAGTGCCATTCACATCACATGGGCATATCATTCAACGTATGCTTTTATACATGAAACTTTTCATGCTCACATAAAAACATTATAATGTAACCACATTAGGTCTCAAGCAATCTTCAGTTAGGTCAACTGCCCAAATTGAACTGTTTGTTTGATTTCCCTTTCAATCTCCAACTTGCTATAATCCAATAAATTCCCATTAGAGTTTTGGGTTTTGGTATCACATTCTTTTTACAATGGCCTTGTTTGACGATCAGCGGATAGCTGATAGCGGATAGCGGATTGTATTAGCTGATTTGACCAGCGAATTTCATTAGTGGTTTTTAAATAAGTGTTTGGTAAATAGCTAAAAGCTTATAACTGTTTGACATTGTAAATTACCAATAAGGACATTTT